ATCAACTCTATCAACTCTAATCAACTCTAATCAACTCTTATTAACTCTAATCAACTCTATCAACTCTTATTAACTCTATCAACTCTAATCAACTCTTATTAACTATCAACTCTAATCAACTCTAATCAACTCTTATTAACTCTTATCAACTCTATCAACTCTTATTAACTCTATCAACTCTATCAACTCCATTATGTTTCTTTCTGTCAGTATGAAATAAACACTTCATGGTGGTTTTAGCTGCTGATCAGTAAGAGAAACGGATAATAAAATATAATTAAAGCTGCGAGCAGCATTGATCGGGCCCTCGCAACTTCACGCACGTCGAGGGTACTAGCAGGACTCTGGCCCTGCATTTCTGTGACCATCACACTCTGCGTGCACGAGTGAGATATTTCCTGCGTAGACCAGCAGCGTAGTAAGATCATGTTGCCAGGTCTTAAGCCTCAAATGTTTTGAGTGTACCTCCGATACAATCATAAATGTAAGCCTTTAAAGATCATTAAGAAAATGAATGTGTGTGAATGTGCTTCAGTGTTTGTAACATAACAGACTGTCAGTTTACTGGGATGGGGTTCAACTCCCTGCAGTGTCCTGCTGATTGTATTTGGACTTACATGAAAGTTAACAAAGCAGTAGTGCCATTTGCTGTTACTTGAACACTTTAATTTAACACTTTTAATTTTAAGTTCTTCTGTAACTTTAGATTGTTGTGCGAAGCATTCATTGTAACGTTTAACCTGATTGTGATGAAGAAGCTCTGGACAGATCATTTATACTAATGCCCACTGACATGGTTTGAGAATCCACTGTTATCTAACGTTTGCTCTCCAAGCATCTTAGTTTGCAGATATTTAGATCAGAGAAGTCTTTTTCTCATGGTGTGCCCACAAACCCTTTCAATAAGTTCAGTGTTTGGGCCGCTGTAATTATTGAATCCTGCTTACAGCCATGGTCATCAGTAGGTGGCGCTATGACTATGAGTTAATATTGGCATGCAGAAGTCCTAAAATCATGACCGTAATCAAGCATGTCAAGTTTGGGACAGTTTTGACAAAGTACAGTCGAGTTACAACAGCTTGATGGATGATGGTGAACCATGTAAAATGGCTGCCACACCACGTCCATGTTGTTCAATGAAACCTCAAGCTTTTAGTAACTTTTAATCGCTAAGGTCTTAACGTACTGCGAGGGCTGCATCTTTGAAATATTGTAGGGGCCGCTATCGAGCAGACTTGCCACACTGAAACATTAAAATCACATTAGATAACAACATTCAGGATTTTAAATGTGTTTGGCAAGTTTGATTATGTTTCGAGCATTTTTAGCCCCTCAAAAATACCTTAATCTTTCATGGCGAAGAATGCATCGCCATGGCAACGTCTTTTCACGAAACCACAAGCTTTGAGTAACTTTTCATCACAAAGGTCTTTAGACTGTACCGACCAAATTTGAAGTTGATTCGATTAATTCCCTAGGAGGAGTTTGTTAAAGTAAAGTGCCTGGAAATGACAAAAACAACACTAGAAATTCATACAAAATTCAAAATGGCTGACTTCCGGTTGGGTTTAGAGCATGGCCCCAAGAGACTTTTATTTAAGTCCATATGTGATACATGTTCCTACCAAATTTCATACATCTAGGTCAAACATACTGCGAGGGCTGCTTCGTCGACATTTTGTAGGGGGCGCTATTGAGCCGATTTGCCACTCTGAACCAAGAAAATCATATTCCATAACTACATTTCGGGCTTTTAATCTGCATGCCAAGTTTGCTTATGTTTGAGCATTTTTAGCCTCTCAAAATGACCTTCGTTGTTAACGGCGAAGACTGCGTCGCCATGGCAACGGTGTTCGACGAAACATCAAAAGCTTCATGAACTGGTATTATGAACTTCCTACATTTGTGTGGAAGTAATTTGATGTTGATTTGATTTACCTACTAAGAGAAACAAGCCAAAGTATAATGACTTTAACTTCCTGTTACCAGTAGGTGGCGCTATGACTATGATTCACAATTAGCCTGCAGATGTCTTCAGGCCTGGAGTCTAATCAAACATGTGAAATCTGGTAAAGATCTGATGATGTGGAGTCGAGTTACATCAGTTTATTCGTTCATGGCGAAGGACCGAAATTCGCCGAACCGCCATGTCGCCGCCCTTCAACAACTTCTTACGATCTTCACAATGAAGCATTATCAAGGTCTTAAGGCTGTTCTGACAACATTTTAGAGGGATCTGATTAATCTGTGAGGAGCAGGATGTCAAAGTACACAACTTACAATTTCCAGTTACCACTAGGTGGCGCTATTACTATGATTCTAAATTATCATATAGATGTGTTCCGGGTCAGGATGTTATGACATATGAGAGATTTGGAGCAGATTCGACAATGTACGGCCGAGTTACAACAACTTCCTGTTTCGCGGCGAATGGTGTTTTTTGACGCCATGCCACGAATACATAGTTCGATAACTTTTTGATCTTTGAGTAACTTTTTACTGCCAAGGTCTCAAGAGCATACTGACCAAATCCGAAGTCAATCAGGTCAAATATCTGGGAGGAGTTCGTTAAAGTACGACGCGTTGAAACGGTCCAAAAACGTCAGAAAAGTCAAAATGGCCGACTTCCTGTTTGGTTTGATGAAAAACTCCAAGAGGATTTTTTTGTGCGTCTCATCACGATCCACATATCTACCAAATTTCATACAGCTAGGTGAAACCCGGTGTTGGGGCTACTCAATAGGGGGCGCTATCGAGCCAATATTTCATACTGCAGACTGCAAATTCTGGCTTGCGTGCCAAATTTCAAAAGTTTTATAGTATCCCAAGCACCTCCTTTTTGCGACGAAAGACACGCGATAATAATAATAATAATAACAATAATAAACAATCGAATAACAATAGGTCCTCCGCTCCGACTATGTCGGTGCTCGGGCCCTAATGAATGTTTGTTTCTTCCTTCCAGAGCAGAGAAGGAGACGTGGATCAAAGAGAAATATGTGGAGAAGAGATTTGTTCAGAACAGCGTGTCAGATGGAGCTCGTAAGTAATTCAAGATCCTCAGAGGATGAACTGTAATAACACTGGTGATTATTAAATAGACCTGATTCCTCCTGAAGAAAGATGATTTATCTGACATTGTTTCGTACATTTTAACAGGTTTTATTTACATACAGCGGGTAAGATAAGTGTTGACATGAACTTTCACCAGATGTCAGTTACAACCCAAGTAATCCATACATACAAAGAAATCCAAACTAATGAGTTCAGAAATGAAGTCGTGTAATAAAATGGAATGACACAGGGAAACAGTATTTAACACGCTTACTGAAATATATTTAATACTTCGTACAAAAGCCAACAGTCTTCAATTCTGGAAGGTTCCGTGTTCCTCTTCTATGAACTCTGATCTTTAGTTCTTTCATAGATTTTCTATTGGATTCAAGTCAGCTGATCGGCTGAGCCATTCAAGCAGCTTTATGTTATTTCTCTGAAACCATGACAGACAGTACGTTGTCTGCTACGTGGTGGGCGTGTCAGACGGCACGTTGTCTGTTCCGTGGTGCGCGTGTCAGACGGCACATTGCCCGTTACGTGGTGCGCGTGTCAGACGGCACGTTGTCTGTTACGTCGGGTGGGTTGCCAGGTTGAGTGCAGTGGCTCCACCGAGAGAACATTATATAATATTATTATATAATTTAAGCTTCTGGATTTTCCAAATGCAATAGTATTATTCAAACATATTGTTCGGTCCGCAATGCGTACTGAACCGTGAGCCTCGTACGGAACGGTTCAATACCAATACGTGTATTGGTACACCTCTACCATTAACACATTCAGGTAAACCTCCTTGTTCTGTTTTCAGAGCTGCGTCTCTATCGGGCCGCGTCAGCCGGGGACCTGGTGGACATGGCTACAGCGTTAGCCCACGGAGCAGACGTCAACGGGAGCATCAGAGAGGAGGAGGGACGAACAGCTCTGATAGCAGCAGCTGTAGGGGTGAGGAGGAGGAGGAGTTCATATGATCATGTAGAAGAAGAGTTAGAGACTCACAGCCTGTGGTTCTCCTGTAGGAGTCTCTGTCAGCCTGTGAGTTCCTGCTGCTGAACGGAGCCAACGTCAACCACAGAGACCTCAGAGGACAAGGAGCTCTACACACTGCTGCTACAGCAGGACACACCGGGTACACACGCACACACACACACAGCTGCTACTGCAGGACACACCGGGTAGAGACACACACACACTGACCCCGTGTGTCTTAAGCTGGAATAAACACCTGTCTGCTTCCCATTGGCTGTGTGCAGACAGGTGTGTCTGCTGCTGAAGAGAGGAGCCAATCAGTACGCTGCGGACGAACGAGGACAGGACCCGCTGGCTATCGCTGTGGAAACTGCCCACGCTGACATCGTCACACTGTGAGTCATCATATGTGTGTGTATATATGTGTATATACATGTGTATATATGTGTATACGTGTGTGTGTGTTACGTCCCTTCTCTGTTGTCCAGAAAAGGGACAACACAAGATTTGGAAGAGGATGGGACAGGTGTGGTCGTGCCAAACAATTGAAACAAAGATAACAGAACTTGGCCTAACTAACTAACCTCTGAAATCAACAAACAAAATGGCTTCTCTAACTTATCTAAATGTGCTTGACCAAAACCCAAATACAGATGAGGCACCGACCAATAAGCCTAGTGTATCTAGACACAGAAAATCCTA